TAAAACAATAAATGTAATTTCTATCTTCTCATGCAATACAGAATTTGGCAAATAACCTATTTTTTCAAATAGCAGTTACATATGGATATTACGTAGTTGAATATTGAATTACAAATTCTGTATTACAGCGAACAAATATTACAAATATTTTCTAGTCTATTTGCTATTTCAAAAAATCGATTTCTCCACAGGCCTGTCGATCTTAATAAATTACATCGATGTTCGCGCAAGATTCGTAATCTATTACCGGTTGACAAGGTTCGCGTGTATTGCATAATGGAGTTTGTGGCACATTTTTCAGGGCTCGTATGTCTTGATCGGTTCATTCGTGCCGACCGTCGACAGCAAATCTTCGGAACCATTTATGCCGCAGCATCCATCAATCCTGATGAAAGCCGGAGTTAAAGTACCCTTGTTACTAGGCTACAACGAAAACGAAGGCACCTTCTTAGTGAGCAGTGAGTAGGGATCGACCTTCGATCAAGCTTTTTTCGTCGCAAAATATCGTGTTGACGTATCGCGAAATCACAAATCCCCGCTTCGGAAAATATCGAAAGCTTCAAGTTGAGCTTAAAGCTGCTCGCATTTTAATACGGCGCAGTTTCGTCGGCTGCTTCGCAATAATAATCCCTAGACTGCGGATTTTATGCATTTATGACAAAAACGAGTTGGTACATAAAATACAGAACAGTGAAAACATTTGTGGAACCTCGGAAAATACTACTGCATTATCTTTAATTCGATAAAATAATTAACGCTGAATCTGCCAGCACTAGAATTGACCGACGATTTTACGAGAAAAATAAGGCTGAATTTATTTAACATTTCCGCCATTTTCGTTGTAACGTATCGTTCGAATTACGATATTTATTCAATCCATTTTCTACGAGCAGATCTCTGTAATTCCAACAATTTTTAAATAAATATCGCGAAACCGATCGCCTCAAAAAATGAAAGAAATGTCTATGCAACTACGGGTATCTTGCAATCGATGCAGGCAATTTTTATTTTGCATAAAAATCCCCGGTCTAACGATCGCTGTTCCGTGCTTCTCTGTGGATTCGCTGTCATATGTAAATCGTGTCGAAAATCGAGTTATAATTTCACGGTAACGCTTCGTTGCGTTTATAGGTTTTCTATATCCAGATCTGAAGAAGTCTATGGAGAAACTCGACATCAATTTCGAAAGGGCCATGCACCCGGAGATGGAGGAGACCATGAGAATGGAAAACGTCAATTCCCAGGATTTGAGGCGTTTGTACTTCGGCGACAAGCGGATCGACATGAACACGCGGGACAACTATGCGGCGTTTTTGGGCGACATGATGTTCATCAAGGGAATCCACGATGTCGTCAGGCTCCAAGCTGAGAAGAACGCGCCCACCTACTTTTATAAATTCACCTTCGAACCGGAATTGTCGCTGGCCAAACAGATGTTCGGCATCGAATCTCGAGGTACAGATATAACGAAGTTTTGTCGACGCGACTGGACTGCTCGATCGATGCATTTATGGCAGAAATGTGCCGGCGAAATTTCGGACGGCATCGTGGAAAAATGCGAAGAAACTAAGACTGATCGATACACGATGATACCTCGTTCATCCGAACGCAATTAAATTGAAACAAAAATTACAATTGGATTGCTCAAGGAATTACATTATCGATTAATATTAATATTAATTAATTATTATCATTACTACGTTATCATTTTTACAGCATCGATTTCATTGTAATTCGATCACTTTGCAGTTCGGAATTCGGATCGCCATTCAATTAAATCGCATTGTAATTTGAAATTGGGATCGCCATTCGATTAAATTGCAATGTAATTCAGAATTCGGATCGCCATTCGATTAAATACATAATTTTGCGACTGACATTGTTCGAGAAAGAAGAGCACCTGTTTCTCGCAGACAATTTTGATTCGGCGCAGAGATCTTCCGGAAAAATTAGGCCTTTTTACACATTTTCTACGTGTCTTCTCTAACTAATCAGACACGGCGATCTCCGCGAACACATCAAACGTGTCCGAAAGCTTCTGTATAACGAAACTTGTCCGAAAGCACTGTATAATGAACGATAAAACGTAATTATGCGTGGTCACCGAAGAAGATATCGGCGTTTCCGGCGAAGTAAATGCGCGAACCGGATCAGTGATTTACGAAGAAGTCGCACCGGGATCGCCGTAAATCGTGACCGGAACGGAAATCGCTATAATTTCATCGCGACAATGATGTCGATCAATTTTATAAATCGTTGCACGTGTGTCTTGCAGGAGCGACCCACTCGGAGGAATTGATTTATCTGTTCTATCCTCAAGCGTTGCTGACGTTTGGCCTAAATGCGCCAAAATTAGGGTCCAAGGAGCACAATGTTGTGGAGTATATTACCCAGATGTGGACCGACTTCGCGAAAATGGGGTATGTCTGTTAATTAATTAGGAAATTCATTTGTAGAGTTGTATGTACAGACGTATGGGCACTTTTGAAACCGGAATAATTTGTCCGAAAGCGGATACACGATCGCGGACGCCTTTCAAACCGGAATAAATTTTCTAAAAGTGGATTAAACGATTTTGATTCTTCTTGAGACGATAGAAGGACCAATTTACTAGAGAACGAGTGAACACGATGTTTGCGACAATTGCAATCCGTTCGATTGAAAAGAAGAGATACGAAAAATGCTGAGAACCTTATAGAAACCGGCTAACGTTGTTACGAGCCATTTCTTCTGTTCTGCCGATCGTTTTTGCCGATTTAAAAGAAAATATTTCGCTTTAAATCGCGCGGATCACCGAACCGTATATTTAATCAATCAATTCCTGCCAATTATTGGCAGCGCTTAAAATGAAGCCTGAAAGCTGAACAATTTTGTTTTTTCCCGTTTAAGAAATCCGACACCAATGACCACGAACCTAATCTCCGCGCTCTGGAAACCGGTCGAGAAGGGGGATACGATCAGATATATGAACATCGGCGAGAAGCTTCGCATGGAGACGACGAAAGCGGGGGAACAAACGTTCGATTGGAAGTATATGAAGAACAAATTGTGATGATTAGAGCCTCTCTTTTATCGATTGCTGTTTGTACATACGCGTATATCTAGTTCTTTTATCTACTTCGGTCGAGCGGTTCAGCGATTAAGGTAAGAGAGGATTGTAGGACAGACCTGGAAAGTAAAGAAAGACTTGTACGGAATGATGTGTCAGATAACACTGCAGCGAATAGACGAATAGAGTTAATAAAGTCTTGTTCTTTTTCATGAAACGGCGTGCTGTGTTCCCTTATAATCCTGACTTTATAATCAATATTTGAGAAACGAATTATTTCGTGTTTACACATTTGCACGAATTATCAAGCACTTATCAGGCGAATATTAAATGTTGTAGCGTTTAAACTAATTTCCTATACGAATGAATTATTTAGGTTTGTGATGTAGCGAGAACGATTGAAACATTTTTCGATTTAAGAAAACGATTCTGTAGAAAGTATATGAATATTTTTTGTAGAAAATGTAGATTTTCGAAATAAAAGCTTGATGAATATTGAAATTTAACAAACATAATGACGCAGAAACTATACATACATTTCTCGAAATAAGAATTTAACAAATTTTGTAAATTTTATAAATTTTTATAAATTTTTATAAATTTTATAAACTTTATAAATTAAAATTTAACAGGTCCGGTATTGCAGATGATATGCATTTCCAAAATTAAAATTTGATAAACACAATGTTGCGACAGAACTGTCAAGTTACGACAGTGAATGAAATTTCTCGCGAACGGCAGCGTAATCAGAGATAAGATACGTCCACAGGAGCCGTCGAATTCTTCCGTTCGACCGAACAATAAAACGAGCGAAACCGGAATGATAAAACCGAATAAAGAGATTAATTACATACCATGCTTGGACTACTAATGTTCGCGATGCGAGCAAATGCCAATTACCTCACGAGGAAATATTATGACGCAACTTCACCTTGCAACGCTTCGTTAGTGCACACACTCGATACGCATTAATAATTCAAATAATTTGTCTACAGACCCGCATGCAGGAACAGAACTTTCCGCGGTAATTACAAGAACACGGAGACGCTAATTTCATCTTGTAATTACTTTAATAACTCGAGAATAATAGAACAGCATTCGAAAATTCTGAATGTTTTAATATTTTGATAAATACAATGATTTTTATCATTAATACACTATGGATTTACAGGAAAAATAAAAATTGTCCGCGTTAATCAGAAGAGACGCGAGAACTACAGTATTTATTCTCTTAATAATTTTAACGTATTGTAAATAATGCAACAGCATCATTAAATTGTATCAATGTTCTTGATGTTTTGCACTTTGCCTATTTATTTTTCTAACAAGTTTTTTTAATACACAAAATTACTCTGTTAAATATTATTTAGTCAAATACGATTAAATGTAAATAAATATAATAATATTTAATAATAATAATTATATATAATATAAAGTATTCGTCGACACATCCCTGAGATCGTTAAAAAGATAATATTTTTCATTTCCACGAGATACGAAGTTGCTTCGCAGACGGTACTTCGTTATTGCATCTTCTTCGAGTACATCCATTATCCGGATATTCAGTATTTTAGTAGTACAACGAGTAGCCTCCTGGAGAATGGAGCAATGAATTTATTGAATTTAGTGAAAAATTTGCGCCACGTTAAGAAAGCTCGCTACTGTTCGGCAAGTCCAGCCGTCGAAGAAACGATTTCGAGTACTGGTCGCGCTATCTGGTTGTTCGAAAAGATAACGAAACCGGCGGCTAACGCGGCTGCACAAGGAAGATGCGAAATGGTAAATTTAGAAGCTCATAAAGAGTGGGCGAATGCAGTTGCGTCAGGTATCAGATATGTCGATTAGTCATCGGCGGAGCGAGTACAATGGAACGAGTTATATTTAGGTGCGCGACAGCAACGGCGCCTGCGCAGACGCCGAGCAGTCCAGGCTCGATTAGTGCAGCTCGACGAGCTGCTCGTCCCGTTCGCGGCGATATTATTTTCGACGAAGAAATTATTAATACCGCGCGAGAAAGCGTTATCGGCCAATTAAACCCCGAAGTGAACGATAAAAGGGTACCTCGGCGAACGAAGGCCGCGCGGCCCGTCGATGTTTTCGATCGCGGACCTAACCTAACTTCGTCGGCCGGAAAAACACGTAGGCTATCCGCGATTGCACAGTGAACGGTAAACTTTGTGTCGTGACCAGAACGTATATTCGCCTGTGTTTTGTCGCGAGCCTGTCGTGCGATATCTCGAACTATGGACGAATAAAAATTCGCTGTGAAACGTCAGAAGAAACGCCGTTCTCCCGGCCGGTCTGCTTTCATTTAAATCGAACGTGAATAACAACAGTTTTCCTCCGAACGAAGTTTTTCCTTGCGTCTCTCCCCGTCCACGAAGTTGATAAAGCCACCGAGACATCTTTTTTTTTCGCCGATCAGTCATCGACCAACGAATCTTCGTTTAGCGAATCGATTTATCCGGCTGTCGGGAGGATCTCGTCTCACGAGGTGAGCTACGTCCAGAGTTATTGCGACCGTGTACTTTGGGAATTATTTTTTGGCGAACCGTGGACGGTATCTTTGCGAAACTTCGCTGGGATGTTCGCGCGGTATAGGTTATGTTCGCGAATCGATTAAATTCGCGTGATTATTTGGGGAGGAATTACTCGTGTGATTCTTACCGAATCGTCGAACGTTCAATGTTAGTAAAATGTTGATACGATTTCCTTAGATTTGTGCTATTCCATTGAAAATAATTATTTTATGTTAGAACACGTAAGAGTTCATTTCTGCCGCAGTAATTGAACATTCTTTTGAATTTCCGGTTCGGAAGTCTTCGACAGAAGTCACTGTGCCGGTGTCATTGGAAAGGAACTATTAATAATTGATAATTATCAAAGGATCTGAGAATACTTAATGTAGCCTCGATGATAATGTTCTGCAAACATTCGTGGATATAATTCGAATGCGATAATTTGTAAGAAAATGTTACATGGTTTAATGGAAACGAATTCCTAAAGTACACGGCAAAGGTGTACACGCACAGGAGAATGCTCCTGTCAAGATCAGACACGCAGTAGAGTACTTCAGAATATCGAATACTTAATACTGAACCTACTGAGGTCTAAAAACGGCTAACAAAAATTGCCTCGTAAGATTTACGAAATAGAATTTATCGAAAATTTTCACAATTTTTATAATAACGTGTGCCTGAGTAAAGAAATACATTCAACGATTATTTATGACTTCAATAATTTGGAAATAAAAAATGCGAAACCGGACATTTTACCGGCAACGGGTATGTTTAGTGTTAATATTGATTGTTGACGGAATTACGAATCGGGAGATTATAATTTACCTTGTTCATACAACAAAAGATTTTAGTGTAATTCGATTAAAGAATATTCAAAATACTGCGAGAAATTGTTAAAGAGGCCGCGGTGAAATCTCCTTCGCGTGTTTAATTAACAAAGTTTAAGGGGCACGCCACAAATCATATTCCCTGTATCAGTATTATGTAATCGTTTCGAGAGAGGCGTTTGTCCGTTCGGTGTACAGTAATGTCTCTCTAATTGACGCTCAGATCGCGCACGAAAATGAACAATTTCGGAAGACGAGATACGATTATTGGAGCCTTGCGGCTCGTTGTTATAGTTGTTGACAGTTTGTACTTATAAAAACGAACCGCAAGACTCGAATAATAATAATAATCGTATCTCATCTTCCCAAATTGTTCATTTTTCTGCACAATCTGGGCGTCAGTTAGGGAGACATTACCGTACTCCGAAATTTTGATTGTGTCCTCGACGAGACGCGAACTTAAACAAGATGGCGTCCCAATCACAAAATTTACGGCGCCACCAATAACTCGTCCCAACTTCTTCCGCAATAGACGATGATAAATTTGATATGTAGCTTCTGTATAATATATATTATATACATATTAATAATATATATAATATATATCAGAATATATTATATAATAATTAATATATATTATATTATATATATATTTAATATATATATTATATTGTATAATATTTATTTAACATTAAACCTATCGAGCCCTAACGATGAAGAGATTGTATTTATTTAAACCGTTCGCCATTTTGATTACGATGCATGCTTGAATCAAGAAATTGATTCAGTCGTTGATAATGTCAACTATTTGAAAATCAAAAATGTGAGACCGGTCATTCGACCGGCGATTGATAGGTTTAGCGTTAAAAAAAGCCTCTTGTCGACGAACTGCCATGATTTCATCTTGAACATTTACTTTCAAGCTGCCGAACTCCGACCAAGGACAAAATGGAGGTCCAGACGCCGTACTTGAACGCGATCCAGTTGATCCCTGGTGAAACCATCGGCGAGAAATACAGATGGATAGCGACGTTGATAAAGGAGCGGATCTCGGAGTGCAACAGTCTCGAGGAAATAGTCGAAGGAATGAAGGTGCCCCGCTTATTAGCGCCTTTGATTCAAGTGAAGACGGCTCAGATACTGATCAAACAGGACTCAAAGAACCAAGACAACTACAAAGCCATCTCGGAAGCGTTGAAGTCCGAGGACACGGAGGTGGTAACGGAAGCGTTTCGAGTTAGGAGCTTCTTCGACGGCAGCAACAAGACATTTACCAACGTCGAGTACTTCCTCAATCAATTGTTCCCCTTCGTCTCCCTGAACACCCGGAATCGCATAATCAAGAACTTATCTATCCGGTTGAAGGAGCCGGCGCTCGCCGAGGAGTTCTTCAACGCCATTACCGCGACTTACAGCCTGGAGCAAGCGTTACCTCTGCTGCCTGCCTGCAGCGAGAGTTTCACGTACGATACCATCGTGAAGAGGAGGATCGTGCTCAGCCGGAAGCTGGTGCAGGCGATCTTCCACAAGAATCCCGACCTCATCGTGCGCTACTTCAAGCTGAGCAATCCGATGGTGAAACCCGATTGCAGGAACCTCCACAAGGTGGACATCAGACGCATGTGCGACTTCCTCGCGGCGCTCATCAAGAAGAGACTGAGCGCGTTCGTCGAGCTGTACGAGATGCACGAGGAAGCGCCGATGCTCGTGAAGCTGAGCAGAAAGCGAGCCGTGTGCTTCCTGAAGAACGGCAAGGACCATCTCCTGAGGAAGCCGAAGCTGTTCATCGATCTGGTGCCGCTGCAGATGATCAGTGCCACACGCATGGAGATCATGTTCCCCAAGCTGTTCCCGGAGGAACGCGCCAACTTCCACACCGATAGTATGCTCGACTATTTGGCCTATTACCCGGAAGAAAAGAAGGTGGACCTGTTGATCAAGTCCTACCGCGATGTCTACGGCGAGAACATCCTGGACGAGAGCAACCAGGTGACGTCCAAGCTGATGTGGCTGTTGCCGGCGGATGAGAGGATCAGGCAAGCCAAGATCAAGATAGAGAAGGGCATCCGGCACCATATCTCGGACTACAGGCAGACGTGGAGGTGCTACCTACTTACCAAAGACACGATACCCAAGATCAAGGAAGAGATCGCGATAACTCCGGAGATAGACTTGAGGGCGATTCTGGTCTCCCAGATGATCTGCAATTGCAGAGTGAACAACGATGATCAGGCGCTGCTGGAGGTCCTGACCTACGTCAGAGACAGGCACAAGAACGAGCAGCCCATATTTCTGATGAGTGTCCTGAATGTTCTGATGGAATTATACGATCTTCCTCGTCTCAACAAGGAGATATGGTCGGTACTGATGGACATTATAGTACGCGCCCATGTAAAGAACGAACTGGCGCCTGGCAACAACATCAGCAACGACATCGTCGAGGCGGCCATTCACTTTAGGATCCTCAATAAGCAACCGATGGACAAGGAGATCGGTATTCTGGTGGACTTGAAGTCCCGGAGCATGACGATGTGGAACATCCTTCGAAAGTATCCCGAGCACGAGAGGACGTGTTTGGAGGCTTGCCTGGCCGTGGTCTTGCAACGCTACAAATCCGGCAAGAAACCATGGAGCGAAAAATGGTCCGGGATCCTGCGCGACATCGTCATGTCTATCTACGAATTCAACAAAGACCACGTGAAGAAGAACACGCGAGTGGAGCCCATGTCCCTAAAGAACTATCCCTGGTTGCTGAAGGAAGTCGAGACGATAATAAATTCGAACGTAGAGAAGGACTGCTACACGATCATGTCTTTAAAGCACATCCTCCGCGAGAACGATATAAGCTTGTTCAAAAGTTTCTGCGCGGAAGAGTCGAAGGAACAGGAAACAGACATGACCAAGGCGTTCGCGTTGCTGAAGAAAGACCCGAACAGCATCTTGTCCAGATGGAAGGAGTACTTGGTCACCTTCTACAGAAATTATTACACAAGGTACGCCAGGCGATTCATGCGGGCTACCCGATGGTACAACGAGATCCCGGTGAAGTTCCTGCAGCAGAGCCTCGATGACCTGCACTCCAAGAAGGACGCTACCTGCCTGGAGGCCATAGCGTTGCTCGTCCATGGCGAAACGCTGACCAAGATTCTGGAGCCACTGGCCCCTCGGGGCCAGATGCTGGACATCCACCACGAGCAGGCGCAGGAGGACTACACGTTCTCGCACTACGCCATCAACTGCGCCAAGTACTCGAACCCACCGATTCCCATGACGCTCTTGTACCGGTACTGCGAAGGAGACTATTTAGGGCAGGCTCTGATGGCCATTGTCAATCTATGCCGACGCAGCTCGCCGATACATGTCCTCGCTTTCGCCCGGACCCTGACCACTCAACGAGTATCCGTCCGGAAGCACGGTATCCGAATGGTGCGGCTGGTGGCGCCGAGGGATCAGCTCCACGAGTTTCTGCTGTCCCAATGGCAGACCGAGAAGCACTACTCCATCCGGGAGGTCCTGTTCTCCACCGCGAGGACGCTGTTCGCCAAAGAACCCGGGCCTGCCAGCTGGTCCCTGATCAGCCCGATGATCTTGACGCTCGGCGAGAAGAACGCCTCCGCGATTATGGACTTGATCAAGATGATCCCGTCGTTCCCCGACGAGTACATCGGGGACTACGTCCGCTTGATCATATCCGTGATCGACAAACTGTCCCAGGACGTCGGCCCCTACTGGACCAGCCTGATCGAGAATATCAGCCCGATCATCTGCAACCTGTTGCCCGAGGAGCTCTCCGAGATCATCCTGCGGAAGTTCCTCTTCGTTCACTCGCCGGTCTCGAACGACGTGATCTCGGAGTTCGCGCTGAACTCGTACCTGATGCACGCCGGCGACAAGTTCGACGCCAGGATGAAGATCTTCACCGACGTTTTCGTGCAGGCTGTGAAGAACAGCTGGGACGTGCCGAACCCGAAGAGGCCGCACGTTCGCGACACTAATCACTCCGTCTACATGTTCATGGCGCGCACGGTTCTCAATGTACGCGGCGACAATCAGCTCAGAGTACTCGACGGGATTCGGAACGCGTTCCTCGCCAGCCTGACGCCCCAGATGGACCCTATGTCCTACTTGTTGCTGCTCTTCAAGAGGGAGCAAGTGGCCGCCGGCACGCCCAAGGACTTCGGGCTGAGCATCGGCCGGAAGCTCGAAGAGCTCATCGACATCTACACGAATCTGTTCTTCGGATTCATTATCTGCGTCATCAACTTATTCAGTTTCGAGGATATGTTCCCGGATTACCACAAGGACGACGCGAAATTGGCGATGATCGAGGGACTGATGGAGGTCGGCTCACCGGAAGCTGCCGTGATCGCCGTGCACGCGCTCGCCCCGGTCAGCGAGAAGAAGTACGTGCAGAGATACGACGATCTGGTCGCGAAGCTCTTGAAGTACGACCATCCGGCGGTGAAAAGCATTGCCTGTAATCATATTAATAAAACGAGCCACAACGAATTCTTGTTTGAAACATTGTAAATTTGTTGCACCGTTTTCTATCGAGTTCCACAGCGTTTTCTTCTGTATTTATTGTTGATGCTATCCGCGTCGTTGCCGCGACGGCGAGACTGCGGCTCGATCTACGGACACCTCCCCGCGGCTAAATTGCACGGAGACTTCGCGCGGTCCAGTGATCATTGTTTACACTTTTGTATAGGCTTTTAACGGAGAGCTGCAGATTTTCTTTGTTTCTCGGACAGCTCGTGTAAAACGAATCCGTATTTAAGCGAACGCACTGAAACGTATTTTACTATGTCGGCGATAATATTGCTTTATTTTTTGAAAGATTTATTGTAGTGTTACGAGATGTAAACGAAGTGTGTATACTTAAACAAGATTGTACTTTTCTACACATTCCTATGTATATTGTTTATATATGTTTATAAATATATTGTTAAAGATGCGTGAAGACTTTTCATCATTCCTGACATTCTACTTTCACCATTTCTCGCCGTCGACTGGCACCCTTGATCGCCGATTCACCCAGGCGTGCCATCTAGATTATTTGGAAGCTGTTTTTGTTCGAGCAGAAGTTCTATGGTATCAAGAAAAATAGAGAATTTGATAATTGTGCGCAGTTCCTGATACTATACAACTCGCATGTGACAGAATATTTTCAAAGTACGATTTCACGCTAGCAATTTAAAATTTCCGACAGATTTTAATGTTCGCAACCTCGTCGGACATTTATGGCAGTCAACGTTCCCTTCGAAACTGATCTCGAAGGGAAATATGCAAAAGTCGAATTTCAAATATGGTGGACTCACATGAGGCGTCGAAACCGGTGAGAAAATTTGGGCATGGCGCATACGCTGTTGTTCCAGCCGGGGTGTTAGGCCAACACGTCCACGTGTCGAACGTTATCCTACAATAGGGCTCTGAAAAAGAAATATAAAAATCCGTCGTAAGATAGATGTCACAGTTATTTCACTATTTCTGTGCAGAGAATTTTCATAGAACCGTAACGTTCGAAGAGAAATTATGAAACGACGCAACGTTGCAAATAATTATTGCATTTATTCATCGAGCCTCACTCGTGATGGAGATTTATAGCAATAATCTGTTAAGTACGGATGTTATTTCGACGATTTAAGTCTCGACCAAATTCTGTTCTCTTCCTGTAATCATTTAAGCGTGTAAATGTAGGCACACTGTATACATAAATTTTCTTCTTCTAAGAAATAATTAGAATAAAAAATTATATCATTGTAATTTTGGAGAAATTTCTATTACAAATTGGAATTGTAATAGATTTTTATAGAAATCTAAATTATAGCAGATTCTTATAGACATTTATATGGTAAAACATTTTGAATAGAAATTTAAATTGTAATGAATTTTGGATAGAAATTTAAATCGTAATAGATTTTGGATAGAAATTTCGATTGTAATACATTTTTGAAACAAAATATAAATATATAATATAAATATAAATATATGTAATATATAAATATATATATAATATAAATATATATATATAATATAAATATATATATAATATATAATACATAAATATAAAATTTAATTATGATGGATTTTTATTTCGAATTACAATCAATTTTTATATACATTTGGATTGTAATGTTTATACAGAATGAAACAAAAGCATTGGTACGTTGAAGGATTGAACATAAACTCGCACGAGATTGTAGATATTATTACAGCTTCGTCGAAACAATTCCTAATCTTCACGACTGCCACAAATTCCGGCAGTCCGGTGACAGCCCCGAGAGACCAAAATGTCCACGTACAAATATTTTCGAAATGTTCGCACCTCGAGGACCGAACCAACCGACCACCGGCGGTTCAAAGGGCCGGTCCTCCGAGTTCGCCGGAAGGAAATCCGAAGGAATGCTTCGCGACCGCAAGCAGGAAGTTCCCGCGCAATCACAGATCTCCCAGGCTCTTCGTTCTCCCGGCGGCAACTTTACCGCTGCTGCGAGCAACACGACCGAAATCCCCATCGATCCCTCGAAAGTTCGCCAGTTTGACCGCCGGAATTTCCCAGCCGCACCGGCAGCCAGCCAGTCAGGCAGACAGACACACGAAATCTTCAATCAGTATTTAACTCGCGAGTTAACTAACCAAGTAATTAAAAGTGAAACGCCTGCATATACGCGTGCAGGCCGGCCTCGCCGAGGGAACCCGGAGGAAAATTCGAGTTGAAATGCACGCCGGAATGCGACCGATATACGGACGCCTCATATCATATCGCATCCTATTCACGTGATGTTGCAAGAGCATTAAATTAATTCCGTCCGATAAAAGACACGAATCGGCAGACCAGAATGTAGAGTGAAATAATCGTAACAAATTGTAATGCAAATTAAGTGAAATAATGACAAGTATAGTATTACTAGTAAGCATTAGCAGTAACAGCAATAATGCAGATAATAAAACAATTTGCATGTATTTTTCCATAATCTTTACATATATATTTCACGTTCCTGAATACAGTCTGCATTAATTTTCCATATATTTTGCACATTTCATCGAAACACGATCTTGCGAATCTATACGTTGCTATCGGTGCATTAGAATCAGTGCTATCGGCGCGAATGATTTTTCCGCTCCGTTCGACAGTTTTCCGCTCCGAAACGGTCGCAGAAAATGTTTCCCGACGGCCGGTTGGTCGCGGACACGCAACTTCTCCCCCGCGAAATCGTTGAAACCCGAAGAATCATAGCGCGGAACACGGCCGACATATGTACCTTGATTAATGTAAACGTCGCGTGCGCCACTTCTAACTGAAATTACACGTGGATGCACTTTCCGCGGCGACACAGCCGACAGAAATTACTGGCCGAAGGTAGTTGTAATTAACGTGACCAGAGAGCCGATGGCTTTCCCAGGCGTGACGCGGCCCCGCGCGGAAATAAAGAGCGACGCTTGTACCTCGTATATTTGAACACCGGCCGGACAAAGAATTTCATTATTATTGTGACACTCGGCTCGTATTTAACACCGGAGGCAAATCCTTTTCTTCCGGGCCATTAACCATGGCCAATATTTTTGCCACGCGTGAAAAACACTTCATCCTCTTCGGCGAGGCCACGGCAGAATGTGCTTGCGGACTAGACTGCGGCTGTTAGGGTTAGATATACGAGTAATTTGAATAATTCGAATAATCTGAATAATTTGAATAATTTGAATCATTTGAATAATTCGAATCATTTGAATGATTTGAATAATTTGAATGATTCGAATAATTCGAAAATTCTTTATTCGAATAAGTCGAAAATTTTCTATTTGAATAATTCGAAAATTCTTTATTCGATTAATTTCAATGATTCTTTATTCGAATAATTCGAAAATTCTTCATTCGATTAATTTCAATGATTCTTTATTCGAATAATTTGAAAATTCTTTATTCGAATAATTAAAAAAATTCTTTATTCGAATAATTCGGAAAAGTAATATAGAAGAAATGAATCAACATACTATGAAAAAGATCGCTCACTGTATAGGTATTTTCTCATGTTTATTCAAATCAATTTACATTTTCTGTACGAATTCCTGCACGAATAAATATCTTACTCGAATAACATCTGAGTCGAATTAATTCTAATTCGAATAACATTTCATTCGGCTGAATTGTTATCTAGATAAATTTGTATTCGATTCCTTCGATAGCGTCGAATAACATTTTGCCCAAAATCCGATGTCGAACGAGTACGAGTAGGTAAATATGAAGAAAGCAAAGGGATTATGACCGTCTCGAAGATAGGACGACGGATCGTCGTCGACAATGGGACATCGTGATCGTTAATAAATTCTTCACGGCGACTTTCAGTTCATTGGCCACCGGGGATTTACGCGGATTCGCGAGCTGCTCGTCTTGTTTGCCCCTTTCTTCTCCGTTTTCTCAGGATTAATTCGAGAGTAATTTCACGCGTAAGCAGGTCCAGATTGCCTGGCGATTTATCTTAGGCGAAAGGTCGCAATAATGCGACGATTTAAATCTGACGAACGAAACGATATTTCAAGAACATACTTCCGTTGCAGGCCACCGCAGAGAAAGCATCGGTCGAAGGTTGATCGCGTCGGAAAATGATGTTCGCGCGAGGAATGAAGCGAACATGAACGAATTCGTATTACCGTCGGCCTTGACACAAAATACCGAAAGAACAGTGCTAATAATAATCTGCTTTTTTTGTAACGGCATTGTTCAGATAACATATGCAGAAAACGACGATATGAATAACACATTACAATACATGTTTCTAAAATTTCAACAATCTTTTATCCTGCACTGTGGAGTGCATTGTTTAAATACTTCGCAATGATAACCAAAATCATTTCGTTTGCAAAACCGCTCACCTTGTCGATCATTTGTTGCATCACACGACCGACTCGATCGACTCAAATATGCAGTTCAACTGAATTTTATACAATATAAAGTTACCATTTGCGCGCGGCCTTTCGAAAACACAAACAACAGAGTCGAAGTACGTCGTTATCTCCGATTACCGTTTCACTGCGAATGAAATCTGTGAAATTCTATCGAGATACTTTCTCCTTTGTCATTTAAATGTATCCGCGAAGTAAAATATTTCACGCGGTGCACGTAAGGCGCAGCGCACACGTTGCACATATTTTCACGCGGATTTACTGCGACTAGCTGATGATATACACACTGACGCCCTGATAAAAACATAATTACGCGCCTTCCCGTTGCGATGCATTATCCTAATGAATCCCGAGCGCATTCACGAATTTCAATTATTGTTCGTGCCGGACGATACGTAACAGACGAAATTTCATCGGCGACGAGTCGATCGGAAAAATTTCGGATCGCTCGATCGCGGAGAGTCATCCTCGTTTGCGACGACGATGTATAAATCAATTCTGGAAACGGAACTGATCGTGATAGTCGATCGATCCACGTTCCCCTGCCCGACACAAAAGCCCCGGCTTTGACGTGCATCGCTGCGCGACGCACTTTATTTGCAACGCTCGGTGCAGCTGCATGCATTAGCTGCTCTATCGATTCTACCATCGAGCGTCGGGACGCCGGGCGTCACTGCGTTCTCCTATCCTCCGAGGAGTTTCCAGGTAACCGCTAATTAACGGATGAGACACCGAACGAAAATGCCATTTAACCGTCACGAGAAAGAACGTGCATCGTTTAGCGCATACTTGATTATAGCCACTGTTCGAAAAACCATATCACAAATATTATTAGGTTGGTTTACGCATTCTCTTGCTCTTCTTGTTCTATTTAAAATTGTGTTATTATCGTTATAATGAATTTATATTACGAAGAAACTTAAATAGTTCGCACATTTTGATCACGACAGTTTCAATCGCGTTTAGGAGATTTTTCTTAATTTTATTGTTCGTTGAGAAGGATAGTTTTCAATTTTTATTTAATAACAGCATTTCCTTCTTATTAAATAAAAATTGAAAACTATCCTTCTCAACGAACAGATTAAGAAGGTAATGCTCTTCTTGTTCTATTTAAAATCGTGTCATTATCGTTATAATGAATTTATGTTCAGAAGTAACTTAAATAGTTTGTACATTTTGATCACGACAGTTTCAATCGCGTTTAGGAGATTTTTCTTAATTTTATTGTTCGTTGAGAAGCATAGTTTTCAATTTTTATTTAATAACAGCATTTCCTTCTTATTAAATAAAAATTGAAAACTATCCGTCTCAACGAACAATAAAATTCAGAAAAATCTCCTAAACGCGATTGAAACCGTCGTGATCAAAATGTACAAACTATTTAAGTTTCTTCTTAATATGAATTCATTATAACGATAATGACACGATTTTAAATAGAACAAGAAGAGCATTACCTTCTTAATCTGTTCTATTAGAAATGAGATAGTGTACAAAACATTTGTATAAATGCATTAAACAAAGACAGAAA